GGGCACCCCGACTACCTCCATGGATAGCACCCCGACATGGCTGAGATACACAGTCAAATGATCTTGAAGATGTTTCCACTATTGTGCACTAAGCCCGAGACGATCAAAAACCTCGTTCATCACTAGCGGTTGTGATTTGTTTTAAGCTGCTGCAGGAATACCTTAGATGAACATAGTTCCGCCGTCTACGCAGTAGGTGGAGCGGGAGCACTCATAGATCAACAGCAAAGGCCTCTTCCCAGCGCTCCGGTTCAAAACCTCAAAAACTTCCCCCTCCCACCCGAAAAAACAACCAGTGTACTGTACATGTAACAGATCGTTCAGCTGAAAAAAAAAAGTCTGAGAGGCTTTTTTCATCTTTTTTCCACATCAGCTTCCATCCCAACCCCCCTGGCTACTGCAATCGTTTCGGTGTTTCATGGTGTTTCATCTCCTCAAGGGGCCCCGTTGACCGGTCTGGTCGGTCTCGTTGGTCTCCGCGGTCCATCCGCGACCCGCGACCCGTCACGTCCGGTACGTCCGGTGCTCCTTCTTTCGCGGGCCCTGGGAGGCCAACCGGACGGCCTCGGGGGAGGGAGTGGAGAAAAAGCGTTTCGGGGTCGTCTTGATCGGTTTGACCGGACTTCAGGACTTGAGTGTGAGATAGTGTGGGAGGAAGGGAGGATGGAAGGGAGGGTGGAAGGGAGGATGGAAGGGAGGATGGAAGGGAGGATGGAAGGGAGGGTGGAAGGGAGGATGGAAGGGAGGATGGAAGGGAGGGTGGAAGGGAGGATGGAAGGGAGGGTGGAAGGGAGGATGGAAGGGAGGATGGAAGGGAGGGTGGAAGGGAGGATGGAAGGGAGGGTGGAAGGGAGGGAGGAAGGGAGGGTGGGTGAGGGAGTGAATCTTCTCATTAGCTTGGGAAATGGATCCTGACAGCGCCGGAACTGCTGGTAGGGGGCTTCATTGACCTATTGGGGCTTCACTTGGGGGAATCCCCCCGGCCAGTACATGGCCGCAGGTCACAGTAGCTCTCTTATAGTCAAAGGGGATGGCGGGAAGCACACTGCAGTGCTCCAAAGCAAGCAACAAAATGCAACGGACGCCTGTACCGATGCAATCGGTCGCCACCCGGTTCACAAGTCGCTTGGGAACACCTCGTGGAACAAATGTAGCAAAAGGATGCAAAAGGTCTACAAAACGGTTTACCCAATTTGTAACAGCAAGGTTCGCAACAATAAGGTCCACAAATTGGGGGTCCCTTTTGTAGATTGTCCTTTGTGTGACTGGAATCACTCTACAACATGTAAGAGTTCACCGCGGTCGCTCTCGTGAGTGACTTGTGACCTCGAGCTCAGGAGCCCAGCTACACGGCATCGACTAAGTCAAACGAAGGACTGGTCTTTCATGATCCATTGACTCAGCAAAGGGGATAGGGGGCTGTACGATTTACTCCGCAGGCAGGAGCACTTCCACAAAATAGGATTGCAATGGATTGCATACGTAAGTCGAAAATGAGTTGCTTGTCCAGCTTTTGCCAAGGCACTGTGCTCAATTCAGATGGAGATAACAGCCTGGCACTGCAACGACAGCACACTGCAGCGCGCCGGGTGAAAGTCGCCAACTTCTATTTGCTTGTGGCTTTGTCGTAATTTGGGAGAAGATTCTCGTTCGGGCGGGCCATGAGTTTGTTTTCTGGACTGGGCAAGACCAGGATCTATATAGTACCTGATTTACACTCGAATTCCGAGGAGCATGACTTTAAGAGCAAGCGACCGCAAGCGACATACACGGCAGTTTGTTGTCTTGAAATGTCTTGAAGGCGTGGACATCGATGTCATACGTGATGAAACTGGTTCGGTGATATGTGTTGATCAAGACTCCCATGCAGTGCCTTGTGTCCTTGCGAACTGCGACCAAATGCACACAGCTTGCACAGCCTGTTTTTAATCACTTTAATACCTTTTCCATCCTTTTTCATCCTTTTTCTTGATCTATATATGTGGATGCAGCTTTCTCAAATGTGTGGGACATCGCCCGCTCAGCACGATTTGACGATCAAATCGTTGCGGATCCTGAAGCCTTTACATATTGGAAGAAGGAAGAAACAATGTGATGTGGACTGTTGATTAATAAAGGAATCTGGAGATGCAAAACAATTGTGGTAGGTGAGGTTATTATCAACAGTTTACATGTACATGCATTATATGGACTAGAACAATTCCGAATGAACGAGCCTCACCTCAGGAATGACAAACGTTCAACACCAAGCACTGAACCAACAAAGCTTTTCAACCTTCCTTGCAAGAGACTGCCTGATAGGACTTTATGGGTTAGACCCTTCTGCAAAGCGAGGCGCTGCCGCAAGCTGCCAAAATTCCATGTGATTTCTAACTACTTCACAGGCGGCGCTGGTGGGGTTGGGCCTGGCTCGCAAACGCAAGAACACACATCTTCGCTGGTAATACGAGAGTGCTGTGCTCAACGGCCACATATAGGATCTCATTCTTTTCACTCATCCTTTCAGCGTGCGGAGCAGTGGCCCCCCCGCTGGGCGACCACTCGCAAATGTGGCGCTTCGCCTGGAATCAATACCAGTCCCGGACGGCCGCTCAGCCCTCAATCAACCGCTCGTGGGGACGTGGAAAAGCCCTCTCCGTCGGTCCGTTTCAGCGCGGGCCCGTCGGTCTCTGAGAGGGGATCCGTATGGATCCGTCATCACTTGCCGTGTTTGCCTCTTGGTTCTCGTCAACTGGGAGTCCCCGGGTAGCTGGGTGAACTGTGAAGCAAACAAAGGCTACAGCACATTACCCGTTTCTGGCGCGAACTTCTTGGTTCGACGTGATCGTAGGATATTGTAGGCTCCAGTTTTGGGTGGGTCATACCGTATACCTGTTTCAGGGACTGATGTTTGTAGCACTGGCACTCCAAAGACGTATACCTGGGCCCTTCCAAGAAATACCCACTTGCCTCTATGAAGACTCCTGACTCTTCTACGTCTCGGGTTCATAGAGTCCAATGGTCATGGAATACTTTTGGAAACTGCAGGCCGTTCTAGCGGTGGCATCCTCTGTGGACCCGAGCTGCGGTGACCGACTCCGTATCGCCGAGCGACTCGGAGCGACTCCCCAGTGGTGCGCTGGATCGCGGAGAGCTGCGCGCTGCTCTTCAAGCTCATCTTGGTTCACACCTATGAGGACCTACCGAGATATGTTCATGATCATGCAGGAAGCATTGTATATCTCCATTGGTCATGGAATTTGGAGTGGACTCAGGATGAATCGTGGGTGAGGTGAGAATCTCTGTATCTGCTATAATCTGCTATATAGATGCAGACTTAAAGTTTTAGGAAGGAATCCGAAAACAGATTCCACAATCTGGCTTGTGAGTGGTCACTCGCCGTCATACAACTCAGCACGAATCTGCTTCAACACCACGAATCCTGCTGAGTTTGTAGTCACGCATGTTCAAAGGGATTCACCGATGATGAACGTGTGTAGTGGACTTTCCGAACGGTATCCTTGAAAGACAATCCAATTCTTTGGCAATGCATATAGCATCTCGATATGTCATATGCCCGGACCCCTTATATATAGAAGGTGTTGCTAGGCGCGAACAGCATTTGGCCATCTGCAAGCTCTCTGATCATGACCCGGGTTTGGATGATGCGGAGCTGCGCACACAGCTGCCGGATCGGCGCGTCTTCACTAGATTGGGTGACACGGACAGGACTTGATAGCTTCTTCCAAGGACCAAGAGAGAAGGGTGATGGCAAAAGCCGTGAGGTTCAGTAGAAATATGGAGAAATCGTTTGCAGGATCCAAACTGCTTTTTGTCATGTTTCTTTTTCTGCATGTGTGTGGGTGGGGAAGAACAGGGGGCCCGTGGATGAGAAATGGCATAAAAATATAAGCAAGGTTGTGCCGACTGTCTGAAGTAACACCTGCCAGATCATGCTCACATATGCTCACGAAGCTTCGCCCCACCAAGTCCAAGTCCCACCGCTACTATTGGTCACCCAAGTTACGGACCCTCATTGGTCGAAGCGGAGGGGACACGAAGACGTGACTTCGATCGAGATCCTAGGGATTCGAACCACAAATGGATTTAAAAGGCCTATTTAGCGGAGAACTGGAGAACCGGCTGTTTTACTAAGGATATTAAGACTACATAGCTCAAGAAGTTTTACGAAAGGACTTTGAGGCTAGTGCTGTACTGCCTGTTTTCAGTGGATGTGGTGATTTTTAGTGCACATCTTTGCCACTGGTGCTGCCTTCTTTTCCAGCCCTTGGGGGCGGTCCCAGGCCCTACCACCGCCGGTCCGAGCGAACAGACCATCACTCCTCAAAGGTCAGATCTTCGCAGCTCTGCGTCACGCCCAAGCGCGAGCTCAGCGTCACGAACCGGGGCACGTGTGCAAGTATAGATGCATAAGGAATTAAGAAAATCAAACAAGTGGATATGACATGTCCTTATCATTGCTGGTGGGATGTTGCGGTATACAACCCTTGAACAACAATTATGTGACAGGAAGCTTGGCAAACTTCATCAAGCGTCTACCTGCAGGACGCTTTTTGGCAATTACTGAGCTGCGCTTGCCGGCTTGAGCATCCGCCATGCACTAATTCGTTGTTTTTTAATCTAGTGATCTACCCCCTCCTCCGGGAACCTCAATATGCGATCATCTTTGGATGAACATTGGAAAACAAGTGACTAGTGGCTATTGACTATACACTACCTGCCATGGAAGTATCATGGAAGTGGAAAATGGTTCCAGGGAGTGTAGGAATGCCCGAGCTTCTAGGAGTGCCTTGAGCAGCTCAAGACGGTGTTTGTGTGTTTTTGGTGGCGGTCATCTTTGAGGAAACAATTCAGGAGGTTTCTGGCTGTCTGATCTGGTGAAGCCTTCTGAGATCCAGGTTCCAAAGGAGGGCGCCTCTTTCAAAGCGAAAGAGGACTGAAGCCCAGGGTGGACAACCCCTTACCATCCAAACACGAAACGAACATCGCAAAACACTTGGCTCAAAATCACGGGGCTTCATTGCCGGTATGGATACGCGCAAATGACGGAGTTCACAAATAGGTGGCTTTCATTGACTCATACCAAGTCCACCGCGACAAAGGGCCCACCCCAAATCTCCCTCAGTGGTCATTGTAGTTGCATCCGGATCGCCTCTCGCGATGTCAGTGCTCACATCCCGTCGCAAAAGCGCGAAAAGCGAGTAACATCTGCGAGGTGTACTTGCATTTCCTGCGGCCAGGGTGGATTGATTGGATTTGATTGGTGCAGCAAACGCACATGGAGCAGCAGTAACATGCGTTTGCCATGACAGAACTGGGAAGTAGATCCCCACCAAGAATGCATTGGAAACCGTTTCTATCTATTAGGAGACCACATATATAATCCTCGAAGAAACATGGAAGCTGTTGAACAAGACCGACCGCCTTGTGAAGGACAATGGCCTTCCCGCGGCCTAATTAAGTTCCTCTCCCCATGATTGAAATGATGATCGGAATTAAATGGTGCACAGAACATCATAGAACTTGAACTGGCCTCACAAAACCCTTGGACATGGATCCTAACGCAAACAATCCTGGAAGTTGTTCCAGGAATGTCCACAGATCAATTTACCATCTCCCGATCTTCGTGAGATGTCTTGAGTCTTGAGCTCCATGCAGGCACCACCCATCTACGGGAACACCATGGGAAAAACACCACAAGTGGTCAGGTCAGGAAGAACACACCCGCAACCTTGCGCCGACAGTGGTCCGTCCTGGTTCTCCATGTCCACTGTCCAGCAGCACCCTGGCAGCTTCTTGCTCATGCCGCGCAGGGCTCGATTGACCATCGAGCGCCGGGGGTCGGAGGAATGGTCATATGCCACGTTCTGCGTCGCGTCAAAGATCCACTCGGGAATTTCCACGGTGACGCGCTTGCCCGCCTCGGCCAAGTTTGGCGAAGAACGCGGACGGGCGTTTGGCGCGGGGTCGGGCACAGTCGCGCGGGCCGTGCGCGCGGGCTTTTTCATGCGAAGAAGGGATAGCAGTTTTGTGTTGCACTAGTCACTAGCTTGCAATGCTTTTGATGTTGGGCATTGGTTGTCGGTATTGTTTGCATGTCGGTAGCATGTCGATGATGTTACCGCCAATCAGCTGTATTACTAAGCTTGTCTATGGTCAAAATCAACTGGCACGTTTTCCCTTGAGGCGCTAGACATCTTAGACGCAGCTTCACCGTGTGCACCCTCCATATGGCTGGGGCACCTTCACAAAGGGTATCTACAGCATTCGCTCTCCATCTTCGCCCCACGCGGCGTCGGGTCGCCCACGCTGAGCGATGCGGTCTTTCTCGGGTCCCCCACCTCTAGTTGGGGCCGTTGCAGCAGAACCTTCTCGATCAAGTGCCACACGGTCCTCTGATGGAGCCTGAAAAGAACACCACACCGTTCTTTTGTTCCGGGAGATGGGGTCCCCAGCTCTCGGAACAACTCCACTGTGTGTTTTGTGTGCCTTTGTTTGTGTGCATGTGTTGTCTTTGTTGTGTGTTGTGGTCTTGTTCTATTCCTGCTGAGCGATGCGTCCTCGAAAACAGTTCCTAGACAAATACAGTAGCATAGAACCATGGAATGTATAGCTATCGAAACCCTATTCCCTTCCAAATGTCTAAATAATCGCACGTGAAGGCCAGCAACATTGCAAACAAAAATCATACATGATAAGAATCAGGCCACAAATTACAATTCACACACTTGGGAAAAATGCTCGGAAGGAGCTCGATCTGCAAATTCCAGTAGGTGCGCTAGCCATTAACAGTTATATATATAAATTAAAGCAATAGTGAACGTTGTTGTTTTTGCATGCTGTTGCTGTATCTTGGGGCTATTTGAGGAAATGATACAGGTAAAAGCATGATAACTGATGACTCCACATGACTCCACGATAACCTATGCAGGATTCTTCACTCTCTGTCATTGTGAACACATGGGCACTAACTGCAGTTACTTCATCCATTGCCTTGCTCAGCCATGCTCACCGTTCTTGCTTGATGGGGACTTGAAACCCATGCTCTTCTGAACTTCTGAGCTATTCCTAGAAGCAAATTGCATGGAAACCATTGAAAACCTGTATATCAACGAGTGCACTAAACTTGAATGGTGCGCGGCGAGAATAACACATATGCAGTTTCTTCCCTAAGGCCCTCCTTCGAACCGATTTGTTGAAAAACATCCTCTCTGATCACCTGTCACCAAGCAGCTCATCATCGGGTTCTTCGCCTGGGCGAAAATGGCCAAATCAAGTATACAAACATACCCAAGCACTCCATGGGACTGCCATATATGCCTACATTGGGGTGGTTTGGGGGGTCAATGTAGGCATACATGGCAGTCCCATGGAGTGTTTGGGAAACATAGACTTTGGAAGTTGAGACGAGACCCGATTGTTCGAGTCCACTTGGTGTGACACGGGGCTCCCGCGCTGCGCCGGCGGATTTTTTCACCGATTTTGGCCCAGCTGTAGAATCCCAAATGCTGCAGTACGACTATATTGTTTTTTCCCCAACACCTCTTGAACACATGTTCAGCCATGGATTGTTTCCGAGCCGGGAATAGGTTTACGATCTCCAATGACACCTGAGTCTGAGTGAAAGAACTTGATGGGCAACCCATCCAATTCAATATCTTGTCCCTTAATCTGTTTGGAACACGTCCACGGGTGAGGCGCACACATCTGCTGAGAATTTGTCCACCGCCCAACCTTTCCAACGAACGAATTGAGAACAGGACAGTGATGGGTTTCTCACCCCTGACTATATAGAAGGGCTTCAAGGCAAAAGGCTTGTGGAAAGGGAGACCCTCTGTGACGACTTTCCTGAACCCCTTACAATAACACATACAACACTCCATGTGTATGGAATATATATATATATGTGCCTACACTGACCCCCCACATACAACACTAACCGTCGTTGATCTATTTCATCATAAGCATAGATTTGTATACAGTATATATCTCTGGTCTCTGGCGCGTACACTGCCCATAAACAACTCGGGGGAAGCACCCTGTGTATACTCGTTCGTGCTTCCGCGTGCGGTCTCGAGACTCATGGTCTTCCTGCCAGGCCGTGTTCGGATCCCTGGACTCCAAAGATAAACATGTGAAGAATAGCAGCAGCGATGGAGACCAAACTCTCTGGAACTAACATGGTTACATGGATGGCGCCCCTTGGAAGTGGACAAGGCCTGGACGTCCATGGAGACACATTCGCTATGCATGTTCCGACACATTGATTACATACACGTTGCTTAGACACCTGACCGTATGCACTCCGTTTGCACCAGGACTTTACGAATTAAAAACAACAATCAACTTTAAGGAACTTATGAAAGTCAGCGCAACTACCTGGTTTCTATATGCAATCATGCGTGTTCAACATCTAGTGCATCCCATGGTCGCTTATCACGCACGGACATGCAGGGACCAGGGTTCCTGGCACAGAGATTCGTGTGTGTTCCAGGCGTTGCCACCTGACCCATTGCCATGCCTGCAACTGCAACACCCACCTCACTGTTCAATTCCGAAAGGCTGCTTGGCTTGCGGCCGCGGCCTTCCTCGCGTGAAGAGCGATCGTCGCGACCTTCGTCACGGCGCATCGCAAGCGTCGGACGGCGACGAAACTGTGTGGGGATGATCATCCAATTCATTCTCATGCCATGTATTGAAATGCACTACAGGATAGACAACAACAACAACAATCTGTGCATGTTAGAGAGCGCCTTTTAATGACGACAAAATTGTGACTCTTAGTTGCGGAAAAAATATCTTAATTGCGAAACTGTGGCCCTGGATTGAAAAAACACAAACAAGAAGAATCCGGCCACTGAATGTATACCATTTCACCTTCACACACAGGACACCCCCGATATGACAGGCAATAAACATACTTATTGTGCAAAATCACAGCCAGTATATTCTTTGAGGTCAAAGACTGCTTAATTGCCAAAATCAATTTCCCAGCATTGACCTCAAAGACTGCTCCCGTTGCATTTTTTGCCCCGCGAAACTCACAAACAGGACGTTCTTTGAGGTCAAACACTGCTTAATGGCCAAAGTCAATTTCCCAGCAGCATTTGACCTCAAAGACTGGTCTTGTTGCATGTTTTGCCCCGCGAAAATCGGAACCAGTACGTTCTTTGAAAAGGACTGTTTCATGGCCAAAATCAATTTCCCAGCAGCACTTGACCTCAAAGACTGCTCCCGTTTTTTGCCCCGCGAAATTCACAGCCAGGACGTTCTTTGACAAAGACTGCTTAAGGGTCAAAATCAATTTCCCAGCAGCACTTGACCTCAAGGACTGCTCTCGTTGCATTTTTGGCCCTGCGAAAATCACAACCAGGACGCAGGACGTTCTCTGAGGTCAAAGACAGCTTCCGTTGCTGTTTTGGTGGCAGGCTGGATGGGAGGGTGACCTCAAAAACCTGAGGTTGTTTTCTGGAGTTGTCTTGCTAGTGCCTCACTGCTTTGCAGTGCGTGCTCGCATGTTGTCATGCTTACCTGGTGACATGCTGCCACGTAGCCATGGTGCGGTACCGCGGTCTTCGTGCTTGCCGGCTGGCGCTGTACCACTAGGTGCCACACAAGGCTTGCGAGTGTGCAGTTCTTGTCTCGCATTGGACCCTTTGATTACGCTTGGGGACGGCATGACAGCAGGACAAGGGTAACAAGGGACCGGCAGGAAGCCTCTTGCGGGACTTAAACCCAAGAAGCCTCTGAGCAAGTGTCACTGTTTTTCCATCTTCCATGGAAGTTGGTCCATGTTTTCGCTATTAATTAAAATCTTTGTAATCTTAGTAATCTTTGTATCGTAATCAAAATCCTTGCTTTCGCTATTAGTATGTGTTTCGCTATTGGAAGGTGCCCTACCTACATCTGTGCATCTAGAGAGGACAACACAAGGGTTGAAGAACCTGGGATTTGGAGGAGAATCGCAAAATCATATTGTCTGAGACACACAAACGTGAACATATCAAAACAGTGGACCATTTGTATCCATTTGATGACGTGAAACACGCGGCCGCATGTCTCCCACCACGCCCCCTTCTCTTGCACGAAAAAGACCAATCGCGCCCGGAGCAACCCTCGTCCCAGGAGCGAAACATCTTCACCGTGGCTGTCTGCGACTTCTTCCAAGACTTCTTTTTGCGCGCCGGGCACGGCGTCTGCGACGGCGTCTGCACCTAGAAGAAGAAGAGCACAGCCGAATCCGCACAAAGCTCTGCTGAGTTCTTTGGCTGGTTTCGGAGGGACATCTGGAAGAAATTGATGTAAGAGGCCATCGAGATTCCGATCGCGATCAGATTTGGGTCAATTCAGGGGATTGGGCCTTCTCAGCACCAAGCCGTCCTGCCTCCCAAGACTGCCATGCATGGCGCTCCCAATGCCGCGGCTGCGCGCTGGTGGCCCGCTGTGGAGAAAGCTCCGCATGGGCACCGGCGTGCTCCACCTGACGATCCTCCCGAGTGGCACATGATGGCTTCAGGTGGAATGTGAAATGGTGGATCATCATGACCATGGTGCTTCAACATCTTCAACCCCCTCTTCCCATCCTCCCGCATGTGGTCCCGTAGCAATCTTTGATACTCACCCTTCCCCTACTGTGAAACATGGTCCCAAAACCCGGTCGAGCAAGTCGTCTGCCTGCTCCAAAGCTGCCTTCTGAGCTTGGCAGCGATGGACCGCTGTCTCAGCCGCCCAACCCGCAGCGGCCGCCCAACCCGCCGACTGTGATGACTTTGGGGCAGACCAGGCGACCTGGTCGGAGGTTCGGAATTTCAGGCGTTGGTGGCCCTTGGAAAGCGCGAAGAGGACGGGAAGGAAGAGGTGTTTGAAAGGCAGAAGTTCGGCGAAGCATGTAGTGCTGGAGGTGAGTCTAGTAATGGCATGTGCTGGCTGGCTGTCACTCAAGCCGGTCATTCTGTTCCGGAAAACTTGCCGAACGAGTGAGCATCAAACTTTCTGTCATGTGGGAATGTCGCTACACTGTCCAGCTTTCGGGTCAAAGGCGTTCTTGGAGCGACAATCTGTTGACTTTCTTCAATCTGGTTTCAACCCAAAACCTCGCAAAGCAAACGGATGGAGGAAGTGTCCATCGGATGAGCCACAAAGGTGAAAACATGAACTCCTTGCTTGTTGCTTCTGGATATTGAGCTTGCCCCCCCCCAAAAAGAACGACTGCATATACCAGCACCCTCCAAAAGGTGTCTATAAATAGCCTATGGTGAAGAGGTGTCCAAAAACCACCGGGCGAACGGAAGGCCCTGGTCTAGTTTCATGTTTCGTTGATCACCTGGTCACCTCCGTCCCATCTATAGGACTACAGGCCCGAAGAAGGTTCCGCAGTCCGAAGGCTTTCGGATTCGCCCGCCAGCTGAGACTTCCGCCTGTGGCTCTGCCTTCTCAGGTGACCCTATCCTGGTGCCGTGCGATGCTGCACCAGAAGACTCTCCAAATTCGGAGCTATGGAAGAACATGCCAAAACCTGTTAGACAAATCCCTTAGACTTGGTATCCTTCATGAAGCCACTATAAACCATCCATTTTGGGGTCTTGGTGGTAGCTTATGTTGCTAAATGCTGTTGTGAAAGGACTTACAAGCAAATGCTTGAGGAACAAAACTAACATCCACTGAACTCAACAAGACGTCCTAGTCCAATCCAAGAGTTGCTTTCACAGGACTGGGGACTCCTCTAGCAGGGTCTGGGGTCGTATGAATTTAACTCAAAGCCACACGAACTTGCGTCTGTCCCCGCACCTCAGGGCCCTTCTACTGTAGCACTGTGGAGTAACTGCTGGACCCTAGGGCTCCATTCGTACCTCCTTAGAAGGTATTTGGACCCTCTAAACCCACCCCAAACACCTTCTAAGAAGGTCCTTGGAGCTCTAGGGGGCCCAGAGTTTAAGAAGGTGAACAAAATTGAAATTGTGTGTAGCTAGTAAGTAGGACCAATATGGACCAATCTGATCAATCTGGACGATTCACCGATTCCCCTACGTCATCCTAATTACACCAGATCGGGGGCAGATCTGGGCGAACCCTTTGGACACCCCGTGACTTCCGTCACGGAAGCGCCTCGTGTCAGTGTCAATGCTGCACCGCTTGGATCTGAATCGCCAAGCCAAGCAGCGGGAGATGTTGTTCCGCATCAAGCCAAGCCTGTGCTCCGGACTTCTGGTCCAAGGATTCGAGTCGAAGTCCTTCAAGGCCTCTCATATGTTGCGCCATGTTGCGCCCGTGCACGCTTTTAGAGACCATGCGAAGCTAGGACATCTATAGACGGCACACTGGGCACACCTCTCACCTTTACCACTTGGTGGTCAAACTTGGCATGCCATCCTAGAATGCAAACAAAGATCCAATGTTGACAATGCATGTACATTTAATAGGTTCGGCTTACCTGCTTATAACTTAGCAAGCATCATCATGCCGTGGCGAACACTGTCATAACTGGACCACAACTCTTGGGATGCTATATCCTGTGCGAAGTTTTGGCACAACAGAACTTCCAAGCACTGCCAGCCTGCCAGCAACCACTCAAAATGATGCCCCAACTCGCGAAATCCAACGTGAAACATGTAAATTCCGCTCACCTTTCGTGCAACTCAGCTGGTTCAACTCTTCCTTCGCCCTCAACCTTCAATGCTTGGCGCCATCAAGCACCACTTGCACTCATGGAAGAGCTAACAGTGGCGAAGCTCAAACCGATATTTACATTTCAATGTTCAGAGTCCAGAGCATGTTTCTGGCAAATCTGTGAACGCATTGACTATTAAACGACTTCTTAGGTACCTGAGCCAAGGGTTCCAATTTTTTCCTGATGAAATCCGATCAACGTCTCACCTCACCCCATACTCGCGCACACATCGAATCAAACCCCCGTTGGATGCATCAAATGATCTGTCCAATCAGGTCACGTCCGAAAGCTCACCGGTGAGGGTGTGGGCATCTCCTCCGGCTTGGGCATGGTCCGCCGCTTTGGCGTGGCGGGCGGCGATTCCAAAATGGGCTCCAGGTGTTCGGCCAGGCACAAGCTCCTCCATCGAAGCACATCGGAACAACCATCGGAACAACCATCGGGTAAGGCTCATCACTGATCCAAAACTTTAGAACATGCCCTACCAGGGCTGAGAGTGCACATTCTAGTCTGATCCAACCCCTCTAGATTGCCAAAATGATTGGCCGAAATTCCTGGTGCCCTCGGGAGGCTGCAAGGCAGGCAGCTCCTGGCGGGCAGCTCTCGTCGGGAACAACGGATAGCTATAGAGGCAACAAGTGAATCTGTTTTGACCATTGTGTACAATTAACTAACAATTTTACAAATAATAGATTAATATTTATATTTATATCATCTATATGATCATCTTTGCTTATTGATCTAATGAGTGGATAAGCTTACAATTGTTGAACATTCCATGATGGAAGGGAGGGGCACGCTCCACGTCACCCATGATTGATGCTTTGCAATTGGACGAGATTGTTGCGTAACGCGTGACAAGGACATGGCCCATCACGGCCTTGATCATCACTGATCACTTTCTCTGGATCCGACAACGTCCTTTGGACAAAAACCCGAGGATGTTTCTGATGCTTGATGACATTATAGCCGGGAGTCCCGAGGCGGGAATCATGAAGCTGCAAACCATTGGCGTGTGGGCGACGTTCACGCCTGGTCCAGGGTTAGAGTTAAATATTCAGGTGTGACTGGAGTCATGTGCCATTAAAGTCCCCCCAAAATAAGCTATCAACAAACATATATGGATATTAATTCTGGATGATAGGTTTAGATCTACTGTAGATCTAAATCAATTTACTGTCTCTGATCATGGGGCACTTTCCGAAAGAAGAGCCTGGTGACCAGGGGTCACTGCTGTCGTAAGGAGGGGGTGTTGCTCACCTGAAGCTGCTCTCTGTTTCTCTTTCTTGAATGGCGGATTCGGTCCAACTCTGCACATTCCAAGTCCCAAACGACCGTCCTGGATGGTTCTTGAAGCATCTTGAAGCCCCTATGTTTGGGCTTAAAGCCTTAAACCTCAATGCCTTAATGGGTGACTGGCGACGAATGCCCTTGCGGCAAATGGATTCAGGTGTCCTGAGCGAACCTTGCAACCACTAAGAACTCATGGATATCCGAAGGCAAACAGGGGCTGTCATACCTGCTGATATCCTCGCATCACATCTGATGGGTTACAGTATACAGTTTTGCATATAGCGACCCTTTTACCAAAAAAAAACAAACAACACCTATTCTTACTGGCATATGCACTGGACACCGTTTCGATCTCTTTGAAGCCTTTGGGAGACCAAAAAACATAATATAATAGGATTACCAGCGGGTGGGAGGCGGGCGGGTGGAGAATGAGATATATCATAATGTGTCAACCTGCTGAGTGCCATTAAGCTGGAAACGAGGCTGATCACTGGTAGTGCTTAGTGGGGCTTAGTAGTGCTAAGGCCTAAGGCTTCTTAAGCCTTGCCATTTACCAATCCGATCTCGCCAATCCTTCTCTCCTGGATCTCCTGTGCCGCTTGAAGCTGCGGGTCGCTCAGGAGGACGCACCACAAGCCCGGAGAGACCTGCACGTCTCTGATGAGCGGACGCACGTCCAGTCATCCACTTGGACGACTGCAAATGTCTGATGATGTCTGGTGGATTTTCATCTCAAACATTGGATCAGTGGTTTCAGAGGGAGTAAATGGCACTGGCACCCACCCCAAGATGTCCTATGTCCAGATGCAAGTCCATAAAAATGGATCACCTAAGATGGGGGATAACGTGCCATCTACTCTGAAATCATGGCATTTGCATGGCACCCCAGCCCCACCTGGCGCGCAGCCAGGGGTACGAAGCCTCCACAGGCGTTGGTGGCGCAGCTGGCAGCGGACATTGCATTGTGCAAGTCACCGCAGCTGAGGCCTCCACGACGTGCTGACCATCTGGAGGCACCAGTTTCTTGTGGGTTGTCTTGGGTTTGCTGTCAAACCTGGCAAGGTTTGAGAAAACGAAACATATTCCCCGGGTGTGGGGATCATGTCATAGGGAATATAAAAAGTCACCTTAATTAAGCCCTACCAGGTATATAATATATACATGTGAGATGACATTCCCCCAGCTCCAACCACCTCCTGACAAGGTCAAGGGGTTCCCGGGGTGGCCTGCCCCGGGTCGCGCGGTGCCAACGGGGTCTGTCGCTACCTTCGGATGTGGACATGTTCCCCTGGAGATTCTCGCGATCAAACGCAGCTCCCCTCGGTCGACCGTTCAACCGTCAATCCGTGACGTGCATGAAAAGGATGGATGCGAACAAGGCATGGACAGCAATGCGACGTGACTTCGGGCGGCATCGTGTTGGATCTATTTGAAGGTTGTGTATTTAATAAGGGGACGCCCAACTCATGGGTTTTGGGGCTTTGCTTCTTGTCTAGGCCTGTGGTAGGCCTCTCCTCTCCCCCATTTATGCCCAACCAATTGAGTTTTGATCTAGGATCTAGTTTCCTTCTTCCAGAGGCTCTTTGGGAGGTCTCCCTAATTTAATGACGTCTCGCTTCAGTACATGGGAGGGAAAGCATATGCAAGCTGATTCGCTGTGTTTGCTGCTCACACCATATGTAGCGCGTAGAGGTGCAACGAGAGACTGAGGGACACTTGGAAAAAATAACATCAATGAACCCATGCTGAGATTCCCTGAGTACTTTCTCTTGTCACTTGTGACTATCTCCAATGACGCGACTGGGTTGCACGCACATTGGGACCCTTCCCTGCCTGGCGCGGGCATAGGCATTGGAAGCATCTGGAGGTTTGGCGCCTCCAATTCCATCATTGCCTCTCCAGCCATGGGCCCCATGGGCACCGGCATCATTGGCGGCATTGGCCACGGTGCCGCCGGCGCCATCATGACCGGCCCGCCGAGTGCGCCCGGCAGCGCCAGCGCCAGCGGCGGCGCCAGCGGCGGCGCCAGTGTGTCTGGGCACCAAACGGGCGTGGGGTGCCAGGCCATGGGCAAAACCAGTTGTTCGAATTCGGGATCCGGTCGCGAGGTTGTGACTTCCGTGGGAGTCACTTGAGCCACAGGAAAGACATGCAAGGTGTGTCCACGGGAGACGCCAACGAAGAAAAGCTCGATAGATCTCGATAGCCATAAAAGGTTTCTAAGATCTGCATCATTTAAATATGGAATTTGGTCAGGACTTCTTCCATCAAAAGGTGTCATTGGATGGGATTGACGTGAAACAAGAGCATTGGGAATCATCCACTGTAGAGCTTGCTTCTCTAGCTAACTCCAAACCCTCGAAGGGCTCATGGAATGAATTGCAAACATCCCCCGACTGGAAAACTCTTTGCTCTTTCATTGCAAGAAGCGTAGTGTTTGTGTGTGTTTGCATAATGAAGCACAATCAAGCAGCAAACAACTTGTCGCGTTCTTTTTTCCAAAGGATTGAAATTCAATATAATGCAAAGACCTGGGATGGGTCAAACACTTGGAACCCCAACGGTCCTTTACCATGTAGCAAGGGTAAAAAAGAACAACGACGTTGGTAGGTCGGCCAAGGTGATGCCCTGGCGCCGATGTTCCCCCCCGGCCTGGCCCGACGCCCAGTGTGTTCCGCCTCCACCTGCGACCCGAGAGCGGTGGAGGAAGCGCGATGAGCTGAGCCGCCCAACAAGGCGGCCCAACCAGGGCTGCAGGTGCAGGAGTTTCAATGCAAATGGCCCTTCAAGGTAGTTAGATTTTCATCTTGATCACTACAAATGTCCCTTCCCTGCCCTGGCATCGAACCACAAGCGAAAGATCTCAGCCTGACGCTGGCTCCTTGGCACCATAAAACCCGCCCATCGGCAGGCACGCGAGCTTCGGGCACGGTGGCTCCGGCGCGAGGAGAAGGCGCACAGGTTGGAGAAAAGCCTGGCATCTGCGCCTGGGAGAGGGGGCCGAACTCGACGCTCGTGTAAGCCAGTTCCGCCACCAAACTGGATAGACAAAGTAGTTCCAAAATTACCAAGGTGTGGGTTTTAGGCAACCCATATAGGGACATCCCTACTCTCCAGACGTCCAAATATGGTTCAATGAGTCTATTTTCAGGGCACTTTTCAGGGCATAATTAATTATAGCTGGGCCGTATATTTCTTTTCTCCGGCATTTGGTCACATCTAATCTAGTCGGCTTGTGCGGACAAAAAACAAAACTGCACATCAACAATATACACTAGTGAGGACCTTGAAGTTCCATCCCACTGAGCTGCATACAAGCTTGCACTCTTGGATTTGGTGAGTTTGACGGTTTCTACAGTGACTGACAAAATCAAAAATGCAAAACCCATGCAACACACACACACATATATATATATATGTATATTATATAATATGTCCAAGCCTCTTGGGTCAGGCATGGCCAGTGCATGCTGCAAGTGGAACATGCAAGAATCGAACATGTGTTGGAGGTACACGTCGGTAGCATCAAGCAACTCAGGAAATTTGTCCAGGAAGACCCCCAACATGACCCCGTCGTTGGCCTCTTGCCACTGCGGTAGATCGATAGATAGATAGATAGATAGATAGATAGATAGACAGATAGACAGATAGACAGATAGACAGATAGATAGATAGATAGATTAGATAGATTAGATAGATTAGATAGATTAGATAGATTAGATAGATAAGATAGATAAGATAGATAAGATAGATAAGATAGATTAGATAGATTAGATAGATTAGGTAGGTAGGTAGGTAGCTAGATAGATAGATAGATAGATAGATAGATAGATAGACAGACAGACAGACAGATAGATAGATAGATAGATTAGTTAGTTAGTTAGTTAGTTAGTTAGTTAGTTAGTTAGTTAGTTAGTTAGTTAGATAGATAGATAGATAGATAGATAGATTAGATAGATAGATAGATAGATAGATTAGATTAATAGATAGATTAGATTAATAGATAGATAGATAGATAGATAGATGTAACCTATCAATTTTAAAAGGCCACTGACCGAAATGGTATTGGAATGAAGCACGGCCTCACCAAACAAAACACCCAACCACGCTCTTCCACCTTCGGCGGGACTACTTGGGCAGCCTCCACCCATGTGAGGCTTCTTCCGGAAGAACTTCCCATGGAACCGGCGCTTCAACCGGTGCAGCTTCTCATGGAACCGTCGCTTCTTTTGCGGAAGGATTACCCCCTTGAAAACGCAGGGCAATCTGGAGTTTTCCCCCTGGGAATTCCAGGAATGATGCACTTCACTTCACCGCAATGGCGCATTCTCGGGGGGATGTGATCAGTTGGACAACATCCTCTTTCCAGCCTAGTGCCTCTCAGTTTGCTCATGATCATGTGTGACTTCGGCTTAGGAATGTCGCATACTATAAGCTACTCACAGGCTCGCATCCTTCTTGATTCGGCATGTTTCGTTTTTTGCGACGTCTGGGTCTTGCGGACTTCGCCTCAGGTCACCGGTGACTCGAGACCAACAAAAAACACATCCACTCGGACGAACACATCACATCCAGATCCAGCGGAAAACTCATCCCCCCCGGTGGTAAAGGAAAGCAATCAGTCCGAAAAAATGGAGTGTCGAACCGCTGATTGAACCCGCTCCATCCGAGCTGGTCCGGTTGTAGTCAGAGCAGAATCGTTTGGAAGGTCTGAGTGATCATCGGACTGAGGGGTCGAGGACTTTTCCAGTGGAAGCTCCATAGACCATAGACTATTGACCTGCTTGAAAACTTGTCGTGTTGTAGTGATTCACCTGCTTTTCAGTGGTTGGAAGGGGAATAGGTGTATGAATTTATGGACATTTCATCCATTTTTATCCATGTTCGTTCATGAATTTGTCCTGGAGCAAGAACGCCCCGGGCCATTCCAGTGCCGCACGTGTGGAACTAGCAACTGGAAGCGAGTGCCCCACTCCGACATCGGTATGAGAGCATCTCTGAAAGAAACACAAACATGGAGCAACCATCATGGATCACACCAACCACCGTGCACCTGTATCCACTTGTTGTGTTCGCCTATTCCTTTTCAACCAGGGTGCTTTGCAAGTCACCATTGGTCATCACCTCACTTGCCACTGCCCCGTATCGCCGCTCAGCATGCATAGCTCTTCAAGTCTTGTTGAACATGTTGAACTCAGTTTACTAAACACTAAAACCCACTAACACCTGCTCAAACAATGATATTTTTGGGATAGCATGTGGTGCTGGCTGGATCATTCCCTGAAAGGCTAGGGCATGCCAAGTTGGTGATGGACGATGTGGGACACACTTTCCTTGGCGGAATGTATGCACGTATTATACGGGCATGGTATTATTCAATGTCTTTCCCATGAAGGCAACTGCAACCAAGATACAGTGGATTGAGAGGACCAATGGCACAATCCCCATATAAACCAAGTTCACCAAACATCCCCTCTTGCGCTGGCCAGGTTTACCCCTCGATTGTTTCTGACCCGGCGCCCAAGCTTGCAGCTTGGAACCTTGAAACAGCAAAGCCCCACAAACAACACCATGGAAACACACACAAACACCATATATGTATGGAGTCCTTCTCTAGTGCACCTATGAGTCAACGGTCATGGCATCCTAATTAATGAATAGTCCACATGTCAAACACGAACCTCAACTGAAAATTCCACAAACGGGTGGTTCAGACTTTAAAGTGAGCGGACATATGACACATGTGCTGCTGTCAAACCTCCGTTCTCAATCTCATGTCATCACAGTAAAACTCCCCCGTGGGACCGTCGGATTTTGCGATATGTTCATCCTCCACCGCCGTGGCGCGCTGCGTCGTTCGGGTCGCCGGTCCGAACCAACGACGCCACCGCATCCTTTGACTCGACGTGGGTCGACTGCGCTGCGTCGGGGGTGCTGCCCTCGGATCGACCTTCGGCGACGCGGAGCACGCGGAAGTGACAACTTGGTCAAGGTGAATGAGACACGGCGGGATGTGTTGGATACTGTGTTGGATATATATTTTAAATATATATATATATATTATCCCGAACACTGTAGCAATGCATGATGACGGTTACAGTACAGGCTTTTTTTAAAGCAGTAAAACAGTGATATTTGATGATATTTGTTTGGGACACTCCCATTGGATGTACTCGATGTGTCTTTGTCCTTTACTGCGGTGATTTGAAACGAATTTCGCACGGTCCTAGTGACACGTTCCGTCGCAGAAAAAGGAGCGGAGGCCTTGCTGCGGAGTGCTTTCCCGTCGCCGCTGGGATGATGCAACAAATGGCAATCGTATCAAATCTCTCTTGGCTCACACTGATTTATGGAAGTGCTACAAGGATCTTCATGTCTCACCTTCCCTCCCCACAAAAGCGGACAGCGTCTCCCCTTGGAACAGTTTGCTCTACTATTGGATGAACATTATACTTATAATATGATATATTTCCAAGAACTTGCCTATCTCCACCATCCAGGATGACGATGATTGGGGGGTTGGATTCGTATAAGCTTACCAACTATTCGCAATCGAATGCAAACCCGTGGTGTTACAGTTCTCAAAGGATAAACGCACTAAAAAAAGAACATTCCACCATGTAATTTGCTCTAGGATTCCAACCACCATCGATTTATATAAGTGTTCTTTGTTTTTGGACAACCACCTATAAACAAATGGAAAGCGAGACCAACGACAACACCGCGAACCCTTCGCAGCCTTCGGGCGTGCTGTCTCGCGTGCCACGCCGCATCCAGGCAAAGATCGAGCCTGGGGCTCCGGTCTGAGGGACACACACAGTTTCATGCAGTCTGGGGACCGGAACATCGAAGCTTTGAGGTTGGCTACGTGACAGTTCGACCAACTATAAAGACCCATATTATAAACCTCAAAGGATATTGTAAATGCGTGTCTTCACATTGCGCGCGATCCTGAAGTTCAGGGCTGTGTCTATGAGACTTCCGCAGCCCAAACGCCGCCCAACCACCGCAGTGTTGGTAAATATGCAAGTTCCACTGCCAGTTCCACAGGGGTCTTTGGGAAGATTTGGGAAGGGTCTCTGCCAATTGCCCCATCTTAAGAGTTTTTCTCCGTTGCCCGTCTCCACCTGGGCTGGAAGCCACACGACCATGCCCCACATGTGGCCCA